CACAATGCTCTTCATGATAAACCATATCAATAATGCTCTTATTATCAATCTCAACTTTAATCTTTCGAGCTCTGATATCCCATGCCACACGTAGGCCTTGAGACAACCCCCAAAATTCCGCTCCAACAACCGAGCAAATACCAATATTCATCAATAACCTTATTGAGCTTTAATTTAACACTTGGATTTGATCGAGTTTTTTAAAACTTATTGTGAATACAAAATTAATAAGAAATCTGACACTAAATCTCACCTTCATACATGATATATCCAAGAGTTTTAAAAGTTAAAAAAAAAAAAAAAAAAAAAATCTCGAGTTTTGAAAAAGAATAATAAACAATATACACACCTTAGTAAAATTAAAGTCCTATAATAAAAATTTTTGAAATATTTTTCATTCAATCTATATATATATATATGCACCTTAAAATTTTTGAAATATTTTTCATTCAATCTATATATATATATGCACCTTAAAATTTTTCATTATATTTTTTATAGTTTTTTAATTTTCTTTTTAAATTATTCTCAATACAATTCATCAAATTTAAAGTAGGAATTTGAAATTAAATAAAACTTATCTCTCTGCACAAGTTAAAAATGTCAAAATATTTTTATTTCGAATTTCAAATTTGATCCCATATCAAATTAATCCTCCATAATACAATCCCAAAAGTTAGATTTTGTTTAATCTTCCATAATACGATTCCTTCTTAAGTTTATTTTGAAACCATGTGAATTTGATATTACTACTAATTTGAAATTAAAAATAAAATCTGATTGAAACATTCTAAAAATTTGGGTTTTGTTTAATCCCCCAAAGTACAATTGTTAAATTGATTGCATACACGTCCATAATTTTTCTCTTCCTAATTAAGTAGTTTGTTGGATCAAATACGCTATTGTTGGTCTGTCAAATCAATGAAGATTTCTTGCATGAACACTTTACAATTTTGAAATAATAAGGCTCTTGGTATACACTTATTACGTCTGCGTAGAATATTTCTAAATATGTGTCAACCATATGGTTGTGTATTATCATAATTGCATATGTGTTATGTTGTTAACTTATATCTCACATCATTATCTAATATAACATAACCAATGAACATTCTTTCTCGTGCATCGCACGGGCTACACAGTGGCTGAACTACATAGGGGCCCATGCCCTGTAGAATATATATATATATATATATATATATATATATAGTATAAATGTATTATTATTTTGACATAAAAAGGTACATGTTATTAATTATTATGCAAATTTATTTCAATCTAAAAAATTTAAAAATGTTTAGTTTTATTTTTTAAGTTGTGGAATTTATGTTTATGTTATACTCAACTTCTTGTTTATTTCTTTTTCTCTCAAAAAATGCATAAAAAACAAATATTATACATAAATATATATACTATATGTATGAATTAGATTAAATGTGCCTCTATTCTTAAACGGGAATGAGAGACTCCACTAACGACTTCCTTCTATTTTTATTATTTGTCACTTAGGCTTAATTGATCATTGACTAAATAAATGTCGTTTTGGTTATTTTGTTCATATTTTTCTATTTTAACCCTCCATTAATGTATAGTGTCTCTTCATATCTCATCTCTATAGTTTCTCATAACATTCATTAAATAGGGTTAATATTGCAAGAAGAAAAAATAATTAGCATGTTGCTTCTCAGAACGACAAATAATAAAAATAGGAGGAAGTATTAAATAAGAAATAAGAAACAATGTGTTTGGTCAAAATTTAACTTTTTTTTTTATTTTTTTAGTTGGTTAAATATTGATTTGATCGTTGACTTCTCGCGTTGACCGTTGACCGTACTTTATGTACTCCCATTCTTAAAGTCTGCGTCTGCCTCTGGCTACACGCTAGTTTGAGATGAACAAAGCATTTCAATAGATAACTAGTATAAATCCCGTGCGATGCACGGGGTGCACAAAATTAAGGTCATTTATCAAGTCATATAATTATATTAATGAATAAAGAAAAATGTACGGGATATATATAGTACGTGACCTGTAATAGGCCAAAATGTGAACACGGGTGATGCACGAGATGCACAATTTTATTGTGATTTGTTAGTACAGAGTCGGTGCGATGCACGGGTGCACAATTTTCTAGTATGTGTAATACAATTACATACCGTATGCACGGGACAAAAGCACTAAATGAGTTATTTCACAGAGCTTGCCCGTTAAGTAGCTCCTGAACACGGGTGCACAATTTGTAGTACGTACTATAAAATCAGAACAAATTTCCATACAATTAGATAATAAATAAAGTCTTTTTTATTTTAGTAAAAAATTTACGTAATTTTTTTTACTTATCGGATGTTATGGGATTTTTTTTGTTAAACCGATTTTATGGGATATAATACAAATATAATTAGAGGATTGAACAAAATCTGAACAGATTTATATACAATTAGATAATAAGAAGGAATTAGATAAGGAAAAGAAGAAATTAGATAATGAATTTTGAATCTACCTTTTTTTAGTATAGATAGACTTTACGTACAAATTTTGACTGCACCGATTTTATGAGATTTGTTTTGACAAAATCAAAGACGAACACTGAAGACTGTTTATATTAACATTTCTACTGTGTATTTAATGTTTTTTTTTTGGCAAAATATTCTTTTTAAGTGTGATATATAAATATTAAAAATACTTAAAATATTTTATAACATCTATAAAAGCATCTAAAATATTTTATATTATTCACAAATAATGTTTGAAGCTACCTAAATTTTCCTAAACTACCCGTAAGGAAAAATATATATAAAAATTCTTTAGTTAACCTACATATATGTATATATATAGAGAGAGAAAATGTGTAAAAAAAATTTATACAAATAATATTTAAAAGTATCTAAAATATTAGTAATTAGACAGGTGAAATTTAGATTTTTAAAAAATCTATATAGATAATGGTTTTATAGTAGTAATTAGACTTTTATTTATTTACCTTTAAAGTTGTTACGATAGAGGGATGTGATTTTTTTGACTCGTGGAGATGAAATTTTATAAACTGGGTTATGAATTTTTTCTTAAACTCATCCATATCTATGCGATGAGTTTTTTAATCTGGGTATATAGATTTAAAATTATAAAAGAAAAAAACTTTCATAAATCATTCGATTTGGTATTTTCGGAGAGCTTCATTAATTTAAAAGTGTAAAATAAATAAAAAAAAAAGTACAATTGAAAAAGTTATAACCAATTTGTATGGAGAATTAAACTAAATCCAATTTTGTAGGATGCATTAAATATTGATTAAATTTTACATTTAAAATAAAATAAAAAATAACTGGAATAGTTTTACGTGTTGCAATATATTACATTTAAAAAAATTAAAAAATCTTCTTTTACGTATTGCATACCAACAGTTTAGGAAATACATGGATATTCCTAAATTAATATTACATACCCAATATTTTAGGAACTAATTAAATGCTAATTTGATTTGCATATCAAAAATATTAGATGCATTAATTAAATGCTTGATAAAAATAGCAAATCATTAATTAGGATTGACTATTCTACATACTACGTTTAGTAAATAGTATAACTTTTAATATAAGTATAGATTTGATTTGCATACCAAAAATATTAGATTCATTAATTAAATGCTTGATAAAAATAGTAAATCATTAATTAGGGTTGACTATTCTACATACTACATTTAGTAAATAGTATAGCTTTTAATATAAGTATAGATGTTCGTCTACTCACGGTGGACACATGTTAATATGTCTACGACTTATGTAACATGCACACATTGGTGATGTTAATATATTCAAAAAAAAATATATCACCAATGTGTGCATACCACATAAGTAGTGACCATATTAACATGTCATGTGAAGCCTTTGCATTTATGGATAAGTTCTTCACTTATGGCAAAGCATATCATGTGCAACTATAACCCCAAAATTTCTCATTTATGTGAAAGCATCTCAAGTGGGTAACAACTAACCATAATCCAAAAGTTCAAATTAATAAAAGATGATAATCGTGCGACAATTTTTTTTGCTATAAGAAAACCGTATATCACTGCTCCCAGTCCCTGTGAATCTTACGTATTTTTCTTCTCTACGCCATTACCTGCTCGCCATTCAGCTGCCATATTTTGATAGCGACATAAAAATACTACTTTTTTCTTGCGTAATTTTGGCACCTTCTATTTCGTGCTGGTAAGGTACGGTGTCTTCCCCATTTTTTATTATCTGGGCTTGTTGATTATCCAAATCTTGTGGGTCTGAGTACGAGATTTGTTCCCGTAAAGTTATCTATCGAGATCATTCAGAGGTGATCAGCGGCTTGCTGCGCTGAAAATTTTGAAATTGTTGTCTCTGTTTAGCTGATCTGTGTCAGCTATGATGGGATTGTGTTTGATTTGGCTGATGGGATTTGATTTGGTGGAGAATGGATCTTTATTTTGTTCTCTGTAAACTTGATTCGGGTTAATTTAGGTTCATGGGCTGTTTAGGTTTGGACAAGATTTGATTTTTATGCAATTGTGTGATTTTTATGGCGCATTTTCTTGTTCCTGTCCTCTGGTTGTTGAATCTGCAACTAGGATGATGAATTGCTAGGAATTTATGTATCTTTTCGGGTTGTTCTCTTCGTTTTGACTTTTGATTTCAGCTATCTCTTGTTCAAATGTTGTGGGCGATGGCCGATGTGTAATTTAGAAGATACCGATCAGCGATACATTTTGAGTTTGTTAGAGAAAGGAAAAGAAACAAGCAAATATGATCTTCTATACCATGATGTGTTTTTCATTTCATTTTTTAAAAGAAATGTTGCTATGTAGAAATATTCAAGAAATGATGTCACTATTAGTTGGAATGAGTAATTACATTATAAAACTAAATTTAAGGTGGCCTTTTCTGTTTCTTTCCGAATCGTAATTAGTTTGTGTTATTGGTTTGCGGTATGAATCGTACGGAAACAAAATTCAGAAATTGCAAACGGATTTTACAATGTCTAAGGAAGCATCACATGGAGAAAATCACACTAGTGCGAAGCCACCTCCTGAGCCTTCACCACTGAGAAAAGCCAGATTCTTTCAGGTATGATCCATGTCCTGCCTTGAAAAATGCTCCCATTTTCAAACATTTTCTTGTTCCTAGCAAATTATTTGTTTTGTCTAACACCTCACATTTGGTAAGATCATGAGACGGGGAATTTTCATGTATTTTGTGTTGCTTGTTTGTCGGGTTAACGACAGAATATGTTGATCCAGTTGACTTCTGTCATTACCAGTGAGAAGAAAAAAAAATGTTTTTTTTTTTTCTTTGTACTTTTGCTTTTAGACAGAAAGGAGTTGTTTTTTTAATAATTGATAGTTTACTAGGTTTCGCATTTCCTTTTACTAATTTTAGCTTCGGTTTTGACAGGCAAATATGAGAATCCTGGTTACGGGTGGAGCTGGATTCATTGGATCTCACTTGGTTGACAAGCTGATGGAAAATGAAAAGAATGAGGTGAGGACATAAGCAGATTTTGCTTCCACAGATTCCCAATAATTTCGTTACTTTATTATGAGTTTTTCACTGCCTTCTTAATTCAGGTCATTGTTGTGGACAACTATTTTACTGGCTCAAAGGACAATCTGAAGCAATGGATTGGTCATCCACGGTTTGAGCTTATTCGGCACGGTTAGCATCATGTCTACTCATTTACTTCTCAGATTTTATTAGTTGGAATCTGTTTAATTCCTCTCTTTCTTGATTTTGATCTGATTATGAATTGTATTACTTTCTGAAATGATGATTCAGCATTTGTAAATGCGAAGCATTTTTAATATCCTTTTGAGATTGTGGCTGTGCTGATATTGCTGCCCGGACATTTTTTTATTTTTTATTTTTTTTTGATTTTTTATCTGCCGGTTTTTCAGATGTGACAGAGACATTGTTAATTGAAGTCGATCAGATCTACCATCTTGCTTGCCCCGCTTCTCCAATTTTTTACAAATACAATCCTGTGAAGGTCAGTAATAACATAAAACCCTTACAATTAATTTTTTTTCCACTTTAAATATATCACTTGATTCTGTTTTTTTAACTAATGTCATTCGTCTACGATGTTTTACCATGATTTGGCATAAAGCGACACACTAAATGTTGATTTATTGTCTTTTGCATTGTGATGTTACTCTACAGACGATAAAGACTAACGTAATTGGGACTCTAAACATGCTAGGGCTTGCCAAAAGAGTAGGAGCAAGGTTTGGCAGCTCTATCACATGATCATTTTACTTTCATAATATTCTTTTCAATGTTTTATCCATGAATTCACTTTGTACTCTGTTTGAAAAGGATTTTGCTGACATCAACATCAGAGGTTTACGGTGACCCTCTTGTGCATCCTCAGGATGAAACCTACTGGGGAAATGTGAATCCTATAGGTATCTATCTAATTTTTCTATGTAAATTACATTTTACATGGTCGACTTTCTTTGTATTTTTATCCTTTTCTTTTTTTTTTATATATATATTTTAATATCGTTATATTTATTGTGGCCGTGAAGGTGTTAGGAGCTGTTACGATGAGGGGAAAAGAGTTGCTGAGACTTTGATGTTTGACTATCATAGGCAGCATGGAATAGGTAACTAACTTTTGCTCTTGCTGCCTTTATATATATATATTAGAATCGATTGTAATTCACATGTTTGATCCTTTACCGACTTGAAAATTGCAAAATTCGCAACAGAAATAAGGATTGCTAGAATCTTCAACACTTATGGGCCCCGCATGAATATCGACGATGGCCGTGTTGTCAGCAATTTCATAGCTCAAGCGATACGGTAATGTCGTTCGAATGCAATATTTTTTTCTTCTTCATTTCATGTATAAAAATGAATCGAGATGTTACTCTTTTTAGTGGCTAATAATCTAATATTATCGTTCTATTATTGCATCTGCAGTGATGAACCTCTAACGGTTCAATTGCCCGGAACTCAGACAAGAAGCTTCTGTTATGTATCTGACATGGTCTGAAGAAGCATCTTGTATTTTTTTTATTTAAATTTTGATTGGATACACTATTGACATAATTGCTTCAATTTTGTGCTGTTGAAGGTTGATGGTCTTATTCGGTTGATGGAAGGAGAAAATACAGGGCCTATTAACATTGGAAATCCAGGTTAAAACTATCAGCCATCTCTCTCTCTCTTTCCCTCTCACTATTAATGATAACTCACATGAAAAATAGGAAAATACGACAAAAACTACCCTTTGGGTATCAAGTAATCTTTCGAAAACAGTATAAATTGTCTATGATAGGAAAATGTATTTGAAATATTGAATTGTTTAATGATGAGTACGGTGTAATATAACTTGTATAATTACAATCATGGAAGTACCGGTAGAAATAAAAAACGAGTTAAAACAGACCATATAAACTATCTAGAATGTTCTTACTATTGTTTTTTTTTTTACTTTTTATATGTAAAGTATGGTTGTCAAGTTGAAAACCGTAAAAAGACGATTGTTTTAATACATTATACAGATAATAAACGGGCTACAAACAAAAAACTAAAGGAAGTACTGAAATTGTAAGTAAAATATTGTGCGAAACCATTAGCTATCCTTTTTTTTTTTTTTTGGCTGCGTTTTCTTTACATTCTCATAGATCACAAAAAATTCAAGACTTCTCTTTTTTTTTTTCGACAGCTTCTGTATTTGCTTTACAAGTTTAGATTACATAATGAAAGCTAATTTGGTCTTTCCCACAAGATTAGATTAAACCTCAAGGGTAGTATCATCTATAATAACTATTTCATAATATTAGTACAATTGACTCGCTAATTCTTGGGCTTTCTACCTGACCAGGCGAGTTTACAATGACCGAGCTTGCCGAGACTGTCAAAGAGGTTATTATCAAGTCCCTCAACAACTTTGCACTTTCTAAAATTCCCGTTATAGCAAAATAAAAAAAAAAAATTAAAATAAAAATAAAAATTGAGCTGGTAATTAACTCATGCCTATCTGCATTTTCGCCAGATGATAAATCCAGATGTTAAAATCATAACGGTCGAGAACACACCAGACGACCCTCGTCAGAGAAAACCGGACATTACAAAGGCAAAGGAATTATTGGGATGGGAACCAAAGGTAAAGCTTAGAGATGGCATCCCACTCATGGAAGAGGATTTTCGCCAGAGGCTCGGGATTCCAAGGAACAATTGAAAAAAAAAAAACTCGCCAAGTGTTCTGAATTTTGAAACCCGGTCGGATTTATTTTTTTTTCATTCATCTTTCTTTTTATGGTGTGCTACATACTATATACAGTTTAAAAGGGGATTTCTGATGATAGTAAGTGGGGATTATGTGGCCATTGTTAAAGATCTAACCTTGTTTTGAATAAATGCTTAATGGAGCAAGTTTGATGTTATAAATTTATCAACCTTTTTCAACTATTTGTCAAATTGTGATTCCCATTACTGTTTCATAGTGTTTGTGTTGTCCATGTAGTCATCTATGCATGAATTGATGCGAGTCTCTCCGGATAGCCATAGTTGGTATATATGCATATTTTGGAAACTGAAATGGCATACGTCATGCATATTTTGAAATTGAGAATCATAAAATATTGTAACTATTCGTTCTCGATATATATGCATATTTTGAAATTGAAATGGTATACGTTAAAAAACAACATAAATAAGCTTATAGCATTTCAAAGCATAGCTATGTATTTTTGTTACGAAAGTATGATGAGTCGACGTGCATAACTGTTAGATTACACAGAGCAGTTGGAGTTCCAAACTTGTGCAAAACGTCTTTGTATTCAATTTCAAACTAGTGCAAAATGTCTCTGTATTCTGAGGGCTCGTTTACATCCATGGATTGGGGTAGATATCCAAGGAGATTTATCCAATGATATCCTTCATTTCAATATTTGTACCCACTTTTGGGATTATATTTTTATCCTTAGTGGATCACTTAAAATTACCATCTTATCCCTAACTTTCACTCACTTTGCCCAAAATATCCTCCGACATTTACATATTTACCAATTCTGCCACCATAAATTTGACTGTTTATTTTTGGTATGACTTACATGAATATATTTACATTTTATTCTCATTATTTTATGTTTTAAATAAAATATCGAAAGTATAATTTAATGACATATTATCTTACACATGAATATTTATATTTGGTTATCATTATATTAAATTAATTATAATACAAAAATATAATTTAATGACATATATTATCTAACACATATTTAGTTATTTAAATTATTAATATTAGATTTAAAAAAGTACAATTAAACAACATTATCTATATCAATATTATTTTATTTATTAGAAGAATAATCAAGTATTTCCTACAACAAAAAAGAGCCGTCTCGCTTAGGTTGCAGAAGGAAAAGAAGGAGCTGATCGAGATTCCCGAAAGAGACCCATGTCATTCTTGTGACGTATAAAGCTATGGTGAATTCCACATTATTTATATTAATTAAAAGATTAATGAAGTATTTCATACACCATCAATAAAGTTATAGTGAATTCTGAATGGGTAATCTAAATCATAAAACTGTTATTAACAATGTCAAGATTATTCTCTTACTAACAATATTTATAGATGTAATATTATTTTATTTAATAAAATGTTTTCAAAATTATTAACAAATAATATAAAAAAATTATTAATAATATATAAAATAAAATAATAAAATAATATATAAAAAGAAAAAGAAACAAAAAGTAAAAGAGGCCAAGAGAGATTAACTAGTTCAGTTAGCCATAGGAACAAACATGCTAAAGCAAAGTAAACGCAGAGTTATATGGGCGGGTGTTAAGAGCGGGTGTCAATTGAGTAGAGCACAACCATATATATAGAGGGCAACATATAGAGGGGCAATCAAGGCCATCAATATTTGTACATAACTTTAAAGGATTGATTTATTTGTATATAATTTAAAGGTATCCATCGGTTTAATTTATATATAACTATTTTAAAGTTGTGAAATTTTATATTCTATCGAGTTAATTTATATATAACTATTTTAAAGTTATAATATTTTATGATTTTCAATAATAAAATTTTACAAATTAATAATTAGTTCATTATTTTATAAATCCAAGGATACATATTTTGATTTTAAAATACATGTTGTTTAACTTTTTAATGTTATTATTGATTGGATTATTTACACACATCTTTTTGTGCCGAAGAGTTCGAGTAGGTAAAAATTAAAAAAATAAAAATAAATAAATAAATAAAATACACTGAGATTTTCTATGTTCTCTCCGCTCCAAAATCGTCCACTGCCATCATAACATGCATAGCTACTCATTGCCATCAGAAAAGGGAGAAAAAAGGTAGAATCCTAGGAAAAGACCATAAGTTTTTTTTTTTTTTTT